AAAAAAAAAAAAAAAAAAAAAAAAAATACGAAGGAAGCTGATTAATTTCGAAAGCTGTACGTTTAAGTGAAATCACCTGAATTTTTGAATTGGTCACGAAACTGCAGTTTTTTTAGCACTTTCTGTTTCAATAGAGCACGACATTCACGATGTTTTAATCACTTTACCGAAGCTAGGCGACGTGGTTTCTCCGTTCGCTGCTCATTAGCCATGGCCTTTTCTTCTTTCTCTTTTCTTTCCTTTTTTCATTGTTCCGCGATAACGAGAAACAACAGGAAGAGGGTGAGTCTAACGAGCCTATTCATTCAACTTTTGCGAAAGATCATTTATGTTCAGCACTGCTCGAGCAACCAGGCAAAGTTAACATTCGCGAACAATAAACCTCGGCGACGTGCATTTTCAACCCAAGCGACTTTTTCCCATTTTTTTTTTCTTTCTTCCTTTTTCACAATTCGAGAGACGAACACAAGTGCAAACTCGATAATCTCGAAACGGCAATCTTCCCTTGGCCTTCGATTTCAATATTTGTCCAATTGTCTGCTCGCTGCAAGTTTAACAAACAATTGAACTGAACGCACGAGGCGAACTGCGCCTCAATTCAGCGCATGTTGCAATGTAAATTCCGCAGTTTCTAATTCTGCGAGGAATAAGTCGAAACAGACTGATTAAATATTAAGAGAGGTATTCACATGAGTTCAGAATTATCCGACGACTTCTTGAAACATGGACCACTACCTATACACGAGGTATGATACTTGCTTCGAAAGCCATGCGATTGATAATAACCATAAGTTCCCCATTCGTAAATTCGTAGGACGATTGTTCATACGTTTGGAACATTCGCATTGAAGATCGTTGTGAATGGGTGAGAAGTACCAACGATTGCGACACGGGATCCATATTATCGTATACAGAGATCCTCTTCTGCACTTTTGGTACGGAAAATACATTTGTATTCACCATGGGCCTCATGGTAATGATCGTATGGCTTTTGTACATGTTCTTGATCTTGGCAACTACGGCGGACAATTTGTAAGTAGCTTGTTATTGAAATAATTAATTTGTCGCTAGATGTTCGTACGTGTTTCCTTAAAGTGTAGGTACGATAATCGATAAATAATAAAGTCACGGTACTACAAAGGAAAATTTTTATAATTTATTTTAACGTTTACATGATACAGAATTTAATTGATGAATTACGACTGATGACTGTTTATTAATTTCTTATTTACTGTTACATATATTCTCGGCAATTTGATTGTAACAATATAATTTATTTCCATGGTAACTTTTTATAAGACTAAATAGATGTCGCTACAAAAGATCCCTTTCCTCGAAAAAAGAAGATTGTCAGAATGAAAGTTTCGCGAATTTGTGAAAGTAAAATATTAATAAACAGCTGATGAATATAGAGGCGTGTAACAATAATCCTGTGAAAATCAGGAATCGAAAATATAACAGAAACTTTTTATCAAAAAAAATCAGCGAACTGAAACACGTTTATTATTTACGTTGAAAATATTAATTCCAAAATGCATAGAAAAATTTCGAGAAGCTACACGATTTACAAGTAACAATTACAAATGATCGGTACATTTTTTTCGTTAATCAAATCGACAAGAGGAATTTCATTTCAGTCGCCCGTAATTTATTTCAGTTATAATAGTCATCGACGAGGAACATTTCTATTTCGTTTGTAGTAGTGTAAAATATTATATCTTTCACCAACCGTGTGAAAACATTTTAAAAAAACCACAGAGTTGCTTTCTGACGTAAGGTCTCGTGGAAATTATCGAAGAAAGAGAACTGAAATGTATTTTCCTCGTCGATAATTATGATTAACAACCGAAAGGAAGTTTCCCTCATCGAGAACTGTTACAAGTAATCGAAATAAATCCCTCTCGTCGGTAATGATTATTAAACGAAT